GTTATTTAACTCAAGATGGGATGTCAAAAATTTGTTGATCTAAAATTCAAAGACTATCCTAATAGCAGATAGAAAACTGATTAAACAATTATTGGAGGAGTCAGAACGTTCATTACAGTTTTTAAAAATTGGAACCACAATTTCCAACAGGCAGGAAATAAAGATTCAAACCCTAACCCTAACCCTGACGGATCACTTATTAAATAGTTTAGAGAGAATTGAAGAAATTTTTGAAGAACACTTTTGCAAGACTATGAAAGGAATGTAGTCTGGACCACAAGCCGTAGAAAAGTTCAATTAGATATGACTTTAGCAATAGAAGCTGGAGTGATTTTAACGTCTAACATTGGATTAACCAATTTAACTGAAATTGAAGGAGGAGTATGGTTATAAGATTTAAGAGACGAATTGGAAGAAAAGTCTTTTACAAATAGTTTAGTCTTATTGTTGGAAGAGGTAATAAGACCAGTCCCATGAATGAGAGATGGAATGTTAGACCTAGCTTTGTTAATGATGCTGTTGAAGATTTTCCAAAAGTCTCTACAGCCTAATTTCTGAGATACGAGATTTAGTAAAATGAAAATAACAGATCTTAGCGTCAGATAGCATCTTTTTGATACTTTAATGCTGATCACACTGGATGCTGAGGCATTCAGTGTGATGAGCATTCAAGTATCAAATAACAAGAATATTAGCAAGTTGTAAAAAGAAAGGGCATGGTCAATTTGGTCAGACACTACATTCTTTTAGATGTACTACCCAAATAGACCATGCAATTGGAAAGAGGGAGAACGATAAAGAACATAGAGAAAGGTGATAGAATAAAGAGGTACTAAGTCTTGGGAAGAAGAACGATAAAGAACAAAGAGAAAGGTGATAAAATAAAGAGATGCTAAGTGGAAGTACATAAAAGAATGGTTTGAGGATTCAAACCTGATTTCACGACAAATTGGTGAATTGATAAGTAACAATAATCACAAGTCAAGCATGTGACTACTGGAGTCTTTGCAAATCAGAGGATAATATCCATCAATACTGAGATCTAAAAAAAGGAACATTTAAATTTATATTAGACTCACAAAGGGCCAGCTAGTCTGGTGAATTTTAAATGAAAAAGAGATAAGATTTAACTGATGAAACGTTGGTTTGCAGACTAAAATACTTGTAAAAGATATATTGTTAGGTGGTGGGAATGGTTTTTAAATTTGATATTTTGGGTAACTTTTGGCATGGTTTAAATGTAAAGAGAACTTGAATCATTCATAGATAGAGCACGGCCTCCTAGCAATGAGCTAAGCAGTTGTCTCTGTTCTGCTAATTTACTTAAAGTCTTAACTTAGGCCCCTTTGGTGGTCTCAAAAATGCGTATTAAAAGAATTAAATGCGTATTAAAAGAACAGGGACACCATCCATGCCAATTATAGCATTAACACTCTGATATTTAAGAGCTGTTGGTGAAATCAACCTCTCTAAGGGCTACCAGAGAATTCAGAAAACCTTACTGTAAGCCGACCTTAAAACTATTAAACTGGATTTTAAAACTGTACTCTCATCAGAAAGTAACAAAAAAAGCTGCATTGTTACTATCAAGAAAACATAAGCAAAAATAAAAGTAGAGTCAAAAAGATCCAGCATTTATCATCATAGACAGGAAACAATGCAACACAGGTTTACATCTATGCTAGCCTAATATACGAAGTAGAAGTTTGAGGCTGGTCAACAAAATTATTTTGCTTACTCCTAAAGTCTTTCTTTAGGAGGCTTTCTACAAGACAGTAGCTGAATGCAGTTAACATCTGTCCAAGATGAGTGTTTTTATTGAGACACTATCTCTAGCCTTTACATAACCAAGAGCCCAAGGCAGGGGATTTTTAGCTGGGTGCAGGTGAGAGTAGATTTTATAGTTGGAAACGTAGGTTTTACATTTGAGATCACTAGTTAGTTGCTGAGCTCACACTGCATCAGGGATTTTAAACAGAACACTAACATAAATAAAGTAACTTAGGGGTGAACCGACACCGCGCCATAGGTTGAGACAGAACACAAACATACATAAAGTAACATACGGATTATTAACAAAACGTTTTATTTCTTTTTTTTTTAATGCATGTATACGCATTTAGATATTTATGCATACCATTTTTTATTTTCGTACATACATCAGCAAACTTAAATATGGAGAACAAGCAGGAGTGTACATACAACGGGGAATAGCATAGGTTTTGCATTAAGATTGCCTTCTTTAATCAAAACCCTGCATGTTACTATTTAGATGTTCTCCCTATTTAAGTCAGTCTATATATGCTCTGATTATGCATTTTTTCCTTAAGTTAGTCGATGTATGTGCAAAAAATAAAATAATACATGTATAATAGAGCAGGCCGATTTTAGAATCAAAAAATTGGTAATATTGATACTTGATTAGTTATTTATAATAAAAGTTGTAATTCAACCTGTTTTAAATCATAATTTGTATAAATAGTCAACTGCGTATACATAC